ATACTGATGATTATGGCATACAGCTCATGAAAACCCAAAATGCCTGTCCCAAAAAATTAGCATATTTCATCCCACCAATGAAAGACAAGTGTTTTTAATACAAAAAACGCCAACCTTCAAATAATCATGTTCAGTTATGCACTCAATACTTGGTCGGGAATCCTTTTGCATGAATGACTGCTTCAATGTGGCGTGGCATGGAGGCAATCAGCCTGTGGCACTGCTGAGGTGTTATGGAGGCCCAGGATGCTTCGATAGCGGCCTTAAGCTCATCCAGAGTGTTGGGTCTTGCGTCTCTCAACTTTCTCTTCACAATATCCCACAGGTTCTCTATGGGGTTCAGGTCAGGAGAGTTGGCAGGCCAATTGAGCACAGTAATACCATGGTCAGTAAACCATTTACCAGTGGTTTTGGCACTGTGAGCAGGTGCCAGGTCGTGCTGAAAAATGAAATCTTCATCTCCATAAAGCTTTTCAGCAGATGGAAGCATGAAGTGCTCCAAAATCTCCTGATAGCTAGCTGCATTGACCCTACCCTTGATAAAACACAGTGGACCAACACCAGCAGCTGACATGGCACCCCAGACCATCACTGACTATGGGTGCTTCACACTGGACTTCTGGCATTTTGGCATTTCCTTCTCCCCAGTCTTCCTCCAGACTCTGGCACCTTGATTTGCGAATGACGTGCAAAATTTGCTTTCATCCGAAAAAAGTACTTTGGACCACTGAGCAACAGTCCAGTGCTGCTTCTCTGTAGCCCAGGTCAGGCGCTTCTGCCGCTGTTTCTGGTTCAAAAGTGGCTTGACCTGGGGAATGCGGCACCTGTAGCCCATTTCCTGCACACGCCTGTGCACGGTGGCTCTGGATGTTTCTACTCCAGACTCAGTCCACTGCTTCCGCAGGTCCCCCAAGGTCTGGAATCGGCCCTTCTCCACAGTCCTCCTCAGGGTCCGGTCACCTCTTCTCGTTGTGCAGCGTTTTCTGCCACACTTTTCCCTTCCCACAGACTTCCCACTGAGGTGCCTTGATACAGCACTCTGGGAACAGCCTATTCATTCAGCAATTTCTTTCTGTGTCTTACCCTCTTGCTTGAGGGTGTCAATGATGGCCTTCTGGACAGCAGTCAGGTCGGCAGTCTTACCCATGATTGCGGTTGAGTAATGAACAAGGCTGGGAGTTTTTAAAAGCCTCAGGAATCTTTTGCAGGTGTTTAGAGTTACATCGTTGATTCAGATGGTTAGGTTAATAGCTTGTTTAGAGAATCTTTTCATGATATGCTAATTTTTTGGAACAGGCATTTTGGGTTTTCATGAGCTGTATGCCATAATCATCAGTATTAAAACAATTAAAGACCTGAAATATTTCAGTTGGTGTGCAATGAATCTGAAATATATGAAAGTTTCATTTTTATCATTACATTATGGAAAATAATGACCTTTATCACAATATGCTAATTTTTTTAGAAGGACCTGTATATTAGGTGTTTTAAACCCATCTCACACTCTTACATTATTCTAAACGTTTCTAAACTCTAAATGATCTAAAAAAAGCACAGCATGTCATGATTTCAGCTTCCTGCCTCCTCTGCTTTTTGCCACCTGAAGGGCTGTTGGCCACGCCCACTTCTCCACTCTGCATGGTAAACAGCTGATCAGCTGCAGTAGGAAATTTTTCCTGCAGTAAGGTCTGCATACAGGTGCAGCAGGTGCTAAATATTTTAAAATAATTTATTTTAAATAAAAATTCCATGCCGATAGTGTGGCTCATCCATCAATCATCCAACTGTTTGTCATGTCCAATCTAATTTTGAAAAATCACGATAGAACGAGTCCACGATAAACGAACCAGAAAGTAGCTATGGACTACTGTAAATGGTCAGAACTATGTGTTTATGAAAGGTAGCTGCAGTAAACTAATAAAATAAAGTGCTATGTGTTGTCATCATTGTATGTTCCTATACAAAGACGAAATTGGCTCTCTGCATTTAACCCATCACGCTGCTGAGGAGCTGCTTGCTGAGGGCGTTAGAAACTATCATTAAAACAGTTCCAGCAAAAATGACACACAGTCAAATGAAACGTATAAACACAGTCAAAAACTACTTTTGGGAGGAAGTGCTCCTCGGTCAGGACAGCGTAAAGGCATGTTCCCACACCTGGTGGAAACAATGATCTCTGTAACAATTTTACAAAATAACTTCTCAGTTAACAGAAGTACCAGACCTTCCTCCACCATCATCAGCTGAATGTAAACATCCACTCTGATAACTCAGCAGTCACTGTCGTGTCTAAGTGACGTGCGCTCAAGTGGAAGGACTTATCAGGACTTCTCCCCCAAAATATGTTTGTGAGTATAAATCGTCCATGTGAAAAGATGTCTCACAACCACAATCCACTGCTGTCTTGTTAAGTGAAGTATAACCAGGCCTTTGGGCTCAGTTTAGAAATAATCTCCATCAGCAGGGGGGCTCAGAGTGCAGCTGCTATGTCAAAAAGATTCAACTGATGGGGTCCAGATATCAGAAACGGACAAAATCACTAGAGATCAAGATCTCTGCTTCCATCCTCAAATAATGATAAAATGACTGGAAGACCATGACGATCAAACTGAGGTCATTCAAAGGACTTTCTGTAACATTTATTCATACATTTTCACAAAATCCCACCTAAAAACCTCTGAACTGTCCCTTTAACATCCAAGAATCTCCAACACGACCAAATTCAGTCAGACTGAGCAAATCTTCATGTAAATATATTTTGTGTCTGTTTGCTGTGAATCTCCCAGACTTATATTATGCTCAAATGAAAACAGAAATCAGCAGCCACGGCCTCGGTGGAGTTCAGGGAGCGTCTGAACACGACTACAGATGGTGTCGTAAAGAATCGAGGCAGATTTGAGGACGTCACAAATTCTTCATATGGAATAAAAGTTAACTACTTATCAAATATTAATCATACTGACATTTCACTTGGTATTAAATCTTTACATTCACTTTTCCGACAAGAGATTCTTTTTAAATAAAATGTATTTAAATTTAGGTCTCTCTTGTAAATAAGTCCTCTAGGCTCAATGGGACTAACCTGTTTAAATAAAAGTTTAATAAAAAAAACAACATCTCTTAAATATTGACTTTTTCTTCAAAACATTTAAGATATTACTCATTAAACTAAAGTGAAGTGCTTTGGTCAACTTTATAAAAATAAAGTTGATAACGTTGGAGCCTTAAATCATCAAGTGAAAAGTATATAATAGTAATGGTTAAAGATGATAAATCTTTAACCATTACTATTATATACTTTTCACTTTATATGCTTTTATATGAATGTTTATTGTTGTGTGTACCTCATTTGTTTTTAAAACAAGTCTATCTTGTATATGAACTAAATAAATGAATAAAATAAATAATAGTCAAATATATTGTAAATAAACAAAATAAATACTAAAACGAATCTCTTGTAAATGAAAAAATAAATGAATAAAATAAACAATAGTAAAATATATTGTAAATAAAATAAACAAAATAAAAATTATAAAAGTAAAACAAATCTCTTGTAAATTAATAAATGAAATAAAATAAATAATAAATAGTAAAACAAATCTTTTGTAAATGAACAAATAAAATAAATGAATAAATATGTAAATGTTGAATGAAAAGTTGAAAACCTGAAATGAACTGCAATAAAATACTTTACATTTAAAGTTGCTCAGATTAGTTTAGTTCATTCTGAAAGTCAGATTTCAACTTTATTAATTCACAAAAGGTTCATCCAGTGGTTATAAAATAGATCTTCAGTAGAACATTTTACATCCTGTACAATAAGAGCACATAGGTGACAAAATCAAAGTAGTTTTAGTGCAGAAAACAATAATACTGACAACCAAAGAGCTGTAAGATCAACATCATCAGAAATATTAGATTTGTGTCTTTGTGTAACAAAAATGAAAGAAACTGTGTCGATATATTCTTAGAGCCTCATGAAGGACATTTTGGGGTTCCTGTGTAAACTTTGTGGTTTTAAAGGAGGTCAAAGTGCAAATCTTTGGAGGTAATTAAAATAAAGACGAGTCTGTAGCTTCAAGCATCTGATTCTTACAGACAGTAGTAGAACGACATCATGCGATCATATAAACTCAGAGCCAGAAGAAACAAAACAATCATTCATCTGGGAGAAATCATCTCCTGTCGTTAAAGTGAACGGAAAATGATGTAAAGAAAAATACAAGCCCCTGAAACAAAGTGCCAACCTGGACAATAAATAACGTTCTCTCATTTCAAATGACTTGCGTTAATAACAACAGTGATTGATTTTAACGAAAAACATTTAAATAATCTTGTGATTCAACACCAGAGAACTTCATATGAGGGAGTCTGTTGAATTTATACAAACTATAACGGTCAGCATAGTCAGATTTCAAACAAAGATCACATTTTAGTTTCATGGAAGCGACATCACTCCTATAAAAGGTCAACTGTGCAGAACGGAGCAAAGAACGTCATCAAGAAACGGGTTAAACACAACGGCTTTCATTTCAAGTCATCCTTTCATTCATTCAGTCGGTCTTATTTTGACTCAAATTAATTCAGCAGGGTGTGTAGGAATGATCAAAGGAAAGGAGGAAACATCTAAAAACGGCACACAGTCTTGGAGAAACTACAAATCAGAACCATTTCACAGGAAGCTGTTATTCTCTGAAGAATAACGGATCTCTCAGGTCTTTCTCTGAGGCATCGGGCGGTCTCAGTCCATGTGTGTGTGTTATGTCTGAGCCAGCTGAAGCTCCTCAAGCCCGTGTTTACCCAGGTGATATCTGGCCAAGTCCTTCCTGGTCACCAGCCCGACCACCTGCAGAGTGTTGGACCCAGAAACGTTACACCAGCACAGCAACGACAAGCTAATGACGGCACGAATGGGTTCAAGCAGAAATATTCAAACGTGCTTACCCTGTTTTCATCATCTACCACCACCAAGTGTCTGAGGCCCAGAGCTCTGAAGAGCTTAAACACTCGAGGCAGCGACGTGTCCTGGAAAAGAACAAGTTTTAGTTTGCCCACAGAGAGCTTTATAAACATTTTTAAGACTGTCCTTAAAGACAACTAAATGTATATCCAACAGCCGTGCGTTTGCAGCATTCCAGTGCTACCTGTGGCACAGTGTACGGCGTTGCGTTCATGAACTCCGTCAGGTCCATCATACACTCCCGCTCATCCTGGGACACGTGGATGCTCTGGATCGGGGGGAAACGGGGGTAGGCGTCCCTGAAGTCTTTGAGCTGGAGTTTCCTCTGAGTCAGCCGGGACCGAGCCAGCTCCACAAACACCTGCAGGGACGGAGCGGGACGAGGATGTGAGGAACATCGCGGCACTTCGCAGAGCGATTAAAATACCCGCAGCTTACTGACGGTACCTTGTGCTTGAGGAGGACGATGAGCTGCGAGCGCAGGATGAGGCCGCAGAGTTTAGCCGGCTGAGAAGAAGAAAAAGGTAGAGTTTAAATCAAAGCTGAGGATTACAAAATATTTTTCACCCAACTGCTGGACGTTGATAAAAACAGACCTCTCAACAGACATAAAAATGATTTTTATTATTCTAATAACATAAAGCACAAACTACAGACGATAAATCTACAGCGTGTTTAAATCTGGGGGTGAAAACTTTATTTTAGGGAAGCCACAAATTCAAGCAGTAATGCTTTGAATACAGTCCTGCAAAACTAATGCATTTTAAATGTAAAAAGGTTAAAGTATATTAGAAACCCTGAAAATGTGTTAAAATACAAACAAACTGAAGGCCCGTGGGCTACAGCTGGCCCTTTTTCCACATTTTATTTGGACCTCAAGGTAACATTTTAAATGTATTTATTCTAGTCCACCAATCTGTACTTTTCTGCATTTTCTTCTTGTTTCAAAAGTTGTTCAGTTTTTAGAGGAATTTCTTAACTGTGATGAAATGTATTACGGAGAAATAGTGCAGTAGTCCATCGCTAATTCGCAGTTCCTTTTTCTCGGAATCCTTCTATCGCGGTTTTTCAAAGTAGGATTGGACATGACGCACAATTGACTGATTGATGGATGAGCCACACGATCGGCAAGTTTTATTTAAAATAAATTATGTAGCATCTGTGTGCAGCCCACACTGCGGGAGAAACGTTCTCCTGCAGCTGATCTCTGCTCTGCAGCGGAGAAGTGGGCGTGGCCAAGAGCGCTGGCAGAATGCAGCTGGAGGAAGACATCATGACATTCTGTGCTCTTTTAGAGCATTTAGAGTTTAGAAACATTGTTTAGAATGTCGTTGATGGAGAGCAAGGCAAAAGAAACCAAATGTGATGTGATCTTTTATTTTTTGTGTTGTGTTCCAAATTCAAAAAACAGGTCATTTGTACTTTTTATGAATAATTTAACACATTCCATCTAAAAACCAAGGGACGTTTGATCTTTTTTTAATAAATGCTGATCAAAATTGGCCTTTGTCTATTGTGTAACTGAGTCTGACAGCCCGACCTACAGAAATAACACACGTGTCTTTAGGCAGAAGATGAGACAGTACGTTATGGTTTAATTAAAGGCTTCATTAAATTTAAAAAAAGTGTGAGCCAAAACATGAACTTTCCACAAATACCTCATCATTATCAGAAACCTGCATGACGACGGGGAAGCCGTTGTGATTGGTGGAAGTGTTGCTGAGGACGTCCACGATGGTGCCCACCTTCTCTACTCTGTTCAAACATGTGACCGGAGAGCTCATCACCTCTCTGGATGGGGAAGACAGCGGGCACAAAGGAGGAAGATGCAAATAAATAAAAAGGGGGCAGTGAAGAGGACAATAGCTAGACATTTCTGATAATATAAAAATAGACTCATGAGTGAGCCTTCAGCAAGTCAGACAGGACCTACCTGGCAGTGAGCCAGTGGGAGGTGGCAGGAGCCTCCCAGTGCAGGAAGGGAACGCTCTGCAGCTTGATGTGAATATCATACAAACCCTGAAAAGGCCAGGAGGGGTCACAAACACTTAACTGCTTTGCATCAATAGGACAATATGCCATGAAGGCCGACAGTCATCAAATGATCTAATTTTAAACCAGCAATTAAAAAAATATAACCACTATGAGTTTTCTTTGCAACACATCATTAAGCCTTTCAAACTCAACCAGCAGAACTTTTCTTTAGCGTAAACATAGAAGCTTCAGTTCAGCCTTTCCTCCTGTCTGAATCTGTTGCACAATCAAAACCTACACAATTAAACAAGTGTGTGTTCACAGCATTCTAATAAAAATGTTTCATAAAGAGGTTTAACGTTTTGAATTCTGGAGAACACCAGTCGACTATCAAAGAGTGCGTCTCTTCCTCCTTACTCACTTCTTGAAAATAGTCTCCGACTATCTTGGCGGTCATGAGGACGAGCATGATGGGAAGTCCGTAGGTGACGTTTCCCGTCGCCTCCACCATGATGACGGTCAAACTGAGCGTCATTCTTACAATGCCACCTGTGGAGAGCAGCTCAACGTTAACCAAAAAAATCTAATCGATATTTAAAAGCAGACAGTAAACACGAACAGCCGCAGGTAATTACCTAACTGAGCTGCAGCTCCGATCAAGGCGTATTTCCCAGGGTCGGCCCAGATCTTTGAAATAAAAAAAATATATAAAAAAACATCAAGATATAAAGACACTATCAGTTTAGTGTTAAATTAAACCTGTGAGGTGGTGTTGTTACAAACCGAGCCCGTTGACGCTATAGAGGCGAGCAGTATACCACACAGCCTCCCCCAGGCGGCACCGATGAGAAGAGACGGGATGAAAACTCCAGCCGACACCGACAGGCCGTAAGTCCAACACGCCAGGAAGAAATAGGTCAGAGTGAACAAGCCCAGCGTCAGAGGATTGTAGGTTCCTTTAAAGAGCAGACAATTCTGTGAGGAAACAACACATCCAGATGTGCACGGACTAAAAACTGCTCCTCGTGCAGGTGTACCTGGTGCGTTGTGGAAGAGACTTCGCACGCTTCTCTCAGGAGTGTTGAAGAAGGCTGTTGCCATGGAGTTATACTCTCCATCTGCACAAAACAGCTGGAAGAGAAAATGTATAAAACAAAGTCACAAAAACTTGGAAGCAGACTGAGGTTAACTCGTGTTTGTGTCTAGGCTTTGGATCCGTGACGTACTTTTAGTGCACTGTATATTTGTGGAAAAGTAGACACGATGAATAAAATGTTAAACATTAACAAAAACATTTAACTACTGAATCCAATGTGTGGTGGAAAATGCAAACCAAATAAATAAAACGGGAATAAAAAGAAAGCAACAAGAATCACTGTGTTCATTTTGATCTATCTTTCCAAACGCAGTCATCTTTTAAGCATCAACAACATCTGGTAAGATTTTTGCCATGTTTTAAGCCTTTGTGGACACCCTGGACTAACAGGCAGCAGACGGACATGGTGTGAGCATGCATGCACCTGCAGTGGATACTCCTCGGCGTGGTCTGGCCTCAAAGGCTGACAGTCATTAGAGAAATAAATCATGATGAAAGACACCGCTGCGGTCACTGCTGCGACCAACATGGCCTCAATCACTTGCAAACACGGCCTGTGCACATATCTAAAAACACACAACAAAAAGTATTCAAGGCGCAGCATTTATACTCAACACAAAACCTCAAAACAACCAAACGCACTGCGTGAACAGTGTGAACCCTTCTACTGTGGGTTTAATCCTGTCTGACATACAGAAGTTTATGTCTAAACAGATCAAAGATCTCCACTTACATGTAGAGTTCCTCAAGGCTCCATCCTGAGCACCCTGTAATCTCGCTTTCTCTAAAAAATATACGAGATCAAAGAACAAGATGCTCTCGGCTTGGATTGGATTTTAGCTTATATTGTTGCTTTTAAAACACTATCTAAAAATAACTGACACAGAAAACCTTTCATAATCAGAGTAGAATTACCCACAACAAAAGGACAAGTCAGAGTGTAAAAAAAAAAAACAGCAGAGAGGAAAACAAAGCACTGACTGTCATAAAACAAACTTCCTTACAGTCAGTGATAGTGTCAGAGGAGGTGGTATGTTTAAAAACAGGTCTGCCTGGATGAGCTATAAATAATAAACTGTTCATCAAAAACCCTCAACAAAGAACCGCCTTTCCTTCAAGACAAAACAGACACTTCAGAAATGTTTGTCACGATGTTTAAAAGCAACTTTCTCTCCTTACACAAGGTCTTAATAGTAGTCTAAAACAATCCGACACAAGACAAGTTTATTTAAGCTTATAATGTGTCTGGTCAAAACTGGGACTTTTTTTTGTCCAAGCTACTGGAACCATATGTTCCTTCTCGGGCCCTGAGATCATCTCATCAGCTGCTTTTGGCTGTACCAAAAACAAGATTGAAGCTCAGAGGTGATCAGGCATTTTCAGTCACGGGCCCCAAACTTTAGAACAATCTGCCCCCCCAACATTAGACAGACCACTTCACTTCCTGTTTTGAAATCTCTGCTAAAAACACAGTGTGATTTGACATAGTACCGGTACTTTATTGTTCTGTGTTTTATGTTTTTCTTTGGATGCTCTTAATTAAGTTTTTCCAGTAATATCATTGTTTTATTTATTTATACAATATTTTTATTGTTAAGCACTTTGGTAACAGCTGTGGTTTTAAATGTGCTTTATAAATAAAGTTGACTTGACTTGTAATATCTTCAGTAATGTAAATATATTTTCAGAAATCAATACAGTTACTATAATTTACATTTAAATGCTTATTTTACCTAATTATTCAAGTCAGAACATTTCTGCTACATCTTTACATCCACTTGTCCATCAGGAGGTTCTGTCCTCCAGCTTTTGTTACTAAAGTAAAAGTGGCTCTTTGGCTTACTTCACAACTACTATTCTTAATTTAATAACATCCAAAATGCATGTAAATAAATGTTAAAAAAAAAAAAAAGCACAATCTCCGTAATTGGTTTTATGTTCGGTGAGACTGTGGTTTGTTCACAAGGTGAGCTGAAGAAAAACGATGCAGTCACATCTTGCAAATGATTACAAATCCTGAGGATAAAGAAAAAAAAAGTTTAATGTTAGTTTGACACAAATCGTATCCAGCTTCATGTCGGGAAGAATCTGAGCGGGAGTTTCCTCACACTGATCGCACCTGTTCCTACACTGTTACTATTTTTACTCGCTTCAGTCACGATGGGGATATTTTGAGAAAACTTCCTCGACTTGCATCCACGCCTTTTTTCTGTGAATAATGTTGTGGCAGCGTCAGGAGCCATCTGAAGATATGTCTAAAGGTGTTGCAGTGGATCTCTTTGGAACTGTACCTGATCCTGAAGATGGTCAGCCAGTAGTTGAGGACATTGAATAAAGCGCCCAATGCACCACCTAAAACAGCAGAAAGGTAGATCATATATAGAATATATAATCTGTAAACTGCATGAGACAATACTTTGGCCCCTATCATCACACTTCCACCTCGATGCTGTAAGGTTCAGAACATGTTATTCAGACGAGACAGTATTTTGTTGTGTGTAAACATCTTCCTCCAAAACCTTCACATTTTTTTAGTCCCACATCAATGCTCTTCCACTTCTGTGCTTTACTGCTCAGAATACATGTTCTCTGCAATAATCCTGGCAGCGATCTAGCTGGCAACTTGATCTTGTTCTCACGATTCAAAGAATGTGCTCCGGTGATGAATCGCCTTCCCATAAAAAGTAATTTAAAAAAACAAAAAGCCGCTGTAGTTTTGATCTGCGGATGTTTCCTGAAGACGGCGACAATGACGACATGATTTTCTTCATGTGAACTGTTTTCTGTCTTCGTGAAGTTGAAATATAATTTTGAAATTTTTATTTATTTATTTTTATAATGTGGAGCCATGATGCAAACTTGCAGACAGACACAAGCCTGTTACGTCCAGAATCGACTAAAAAAGGTTAATGTATTTAAAGTTTTGTCTTTTTCTATAAAATATATACTCTTAACATTACAATAACATAATTATATATTATTTAATCATACTTACAACATGCTTAAAAGATATAAAATCTAATCTTACCAACCGCTCCCATGGCAATGAACAAGGGAATCTCATAGAGGTTATACCCCATCGTCTGAAGGAAGGAAATAATGTTTTACTTTTGACGAAGAAAAGAACAAGTGAACAGTATATAAAGTTTGTCTCTCACTTCGGTCTCGAAGCGTCCAAAGTTGATGAGACCTGGGTTGGAAAGTTCTCCTGCTTTGCCGTGATAAATACTGAGGAAGAAGTTCAGAGTGAAGGTAGAGATCATGGAGGCGAAGAACTGCAGATGACAAAGAAAAACGGATCAAAACAGAAACAAACTCAAACTAAACATTTAGAGGAGCACAAAGCCAAAACACTTCCACTACTATCGTTGTTTCTTTCAGGAGTTTCACAGTTAGAAAGATACCGATTTGATTTGCTTGAACACACTGCGAGCGCCAAGAGGAGAACGTGACTTACAATCCTCCACGTCAACATCTGATTCCAGAAAGAAGCTCCTTCTTCAAGAGAGAACAAAACGCCCCCTGTTGAACAAAAAACTAATCAGCCAAGAACCATGTTGTCACCCAATAAGTCATCTGTCCCTCTTAAAAGAAAGTTAATTGAAGCTAAAGCTAGCTGATACTAGCCTGTGGCTTCCTCATTATTGCGAGGACGAGCCAGGCACAAGTCTGACAAACTCTTTTCACTTGATGGCTGCAGACAAGACTCTGCTATTGAATGAAAAGATTCCTCTAAATTAAACACACTTCAGGATTTAAACAAAACAACGAGGAAGAATGATAAATTGAAATTATGAGATTTTTTTTTTGTAATGAGAAAACTTTAAAAACCTCTCAATTTCTTTGAGAAAAAATATTTTCATACAAAATTATTTTTATTTTGGAGGCTGGTAAAACCTTTCAAATACAAATGAGCAAAAATACACAGTACAGTAGTTTTCTCGTTTATCGCGGGGGATTTCTGCACCCACCCCACCCACCTCCGCGCGCGATGAGTGAAAAACCACAAAGTAGGAATAGTAAAGTAGTAGTTAATTTTAGTATTTATATATGCAATATATATATTAAGGCATTTTAAATGTTTCCCAAACTATTGCAATATTCTAAACAACGTTTCTAAACTATAAACGCTCTAAAAGAGCATGTCATGATTTCCCTCTGCCTCCTGCTGCTCTCAGCCACCTGCCAGCACTCTTAGCCACGCCCACTTCTCCGCTGTAGAGCGGAGACCCTGATATGCTGCAGGAGGAAGCTTCTCCTGCTGCTGTGAGTTGCACACAGGTGCAGCAGGTGCTAAATAATTTAAAACTATTTCTTTTAAATAAAATTTCCATGCTGATCGTGCAGCTTATCCATCAATCAGCCACTTATGTGCCATGTCCAATCTTACTTTGAAAAACTGCAAAAGAGTGAGTCCACGAAAGTCGAACCGCGAAGTAGCGAGGGACTACTGTACGTTATTTTAGCATCATCAAATGAGCTAAAACAAAACTTCTGGATGTTTGGCAACTCTTTTTTTGGCCTCTGCCGACGTGATATTGTAAGCTGGCTTTACATACAGTAAGCTGAGTTAAAGCTGATGTTCTTCTGTGTTGCAGTAACTGTTTTTTTTTGTTGTTGTTGTTGTTGTTGTTTTGTTTTTTATTACCAACAGGTGCACCAAAAGCAGCAGAAACTCCAGCAGCAGCTCCAGCAGAGACAAAGTCTCTTTTTTCTGTGTCTCTGCGAAAGTATTCAAATATCTGCAAACACATAGATGCTTATTAGAAATCACTGCAAGTCTTTATAACAAAACTTTAAAGTTCATGCTCATTGTTGGGGATCTTTAACAAATCTGACAAAACTAATCAACAGGCTTGTTTGACTAAATAACTAATGTTTACAATTGAAACTCCAACAGGTAGCATATGTGGTGCATTTGTCAAGATGGAGACAACCTTTAAACACAAAACTTAAAAACTAAAAGATATTATTACGCACTAACCTTAAAGTCTCTCTTTAAAGAGGTGCTCCTCCCCTGGGAGACCCCTGCAGCTACAACAGCCCCAGAATGAATCATGGGACCTTCCTAAACGTTGTGGGTAAGAGAATAGATATTGAAAAGGATTATTTTCAGTTTTTCCGTATTCCAAAAATAACAGTGAAAACACTGCTTGGCTAAAAAGTGTAAGTTTGTGTAGGAACCAATCGCATCCATTTTAAATCGCTCCAAAGACTCCATTAAGCTAACACAGATACTACTCTGAAGCAGGAGCTTGGCAGTAATAAAATAAAATTATTACTTTCTGAATGTTTCATTCAAATCCATCCAGAGGTTCATAAGATGGTAAAAGACAGAGCTGACCAAACACTTCATGGTAAAAATTTAAACAAAGATCCTCTGATTTGCTTTACATGACTTTATTATGACAAAAGGAGATTCGAAGGACTTAAGTGTTTACCTTCCCAACGGCAAGACCACCAACCACTGAACAAATGACACCCAATACTTTTATCACCAGGGTCTGTGGAGGACAAATGTTAAGTTAGAACAAACATGTTTTTTACGGCTTAAATAATGGTTCAAATTTGTGTTTTCTGTGACTGCACCTTGAGTCGGACCACCCTGGGAATCTTGACTCCATTTAGGTAACATTTAATCTGAGGTATCCCACTTCCTCCTGCTATGGGCTGGAAGAGACGGCAGGAGGAATATATCAGAAGTGAGGATGCACAGTACAAAACAGTCATTTAAACTAGTTGTACAGTAGTCCCTCGTTACTTCACAGTTCGACTTTTGTGGACTCGCTTTCTCAGTTTTTCAAAAATTGTACACGACATACAATTGTCAACTTTAATATTACTCACGTGATTGGGACAATACGAGATAAAGGGTTAACGAGAAAAAAAAATACTTGGGACAGGTGAAGCCATTTTGTAGTTTTCTCTCAGTAAGCCTACGCTGTATCGCCAGTCATAAGAACTACATTACCCAGAAGTCAGCAATGCTTCCGGTCACTGCTTTCTGCAGAAATGGAGGGAAAGTTTTGATCCGAGCCGAAAAAGTTTGGACCTTATCACAGTGACTTTGGTGCTCAGTGGATGCAGAGAGCCGTACGGAACTGACCGGGAATTGGACCAGAACTGGACTTCCAGCCTCATCGGTCAGTTGAAGTGCTGCTTGCCGTCCCGTGAGGCCTCTCGAGTGGGGAGGCGTTGCTTGGAGGTCTGTTTTCATTTTTTATCCAGATTTGGACTCAATCTGGACCATTGTGTGGTTTTGTGCTGGCTCTCCGAAGTCGGCTCTCCCCAAAAGCGTCTTGATGCTCAAGGGCTGCAGAGAGCTGATCGGAACCGGACCGAGGCTGGTTAGTACCCATATAAAATTTTGCAGTACTGTACAGTACATATAGGTATGTTGTTAAAATTACATAAGTTTCAGATTAGAACATTGCAAGAGTGTGGGAAGAGTTTATAAAGCCATAAAATATATATAAATACCAAAATAAATATAGCATTACTACATCAAGGTTTTTCACCTATAGCGGGGGGTCTGGAATGTAACCCCTGCGATAAACAAGGGACAACTGTACTACATTTTTATTCATTAACTAGAAAAGTGTTAAAGAATTAAAAAAAAACATGGAAACATTTAACAAACAAGACCTAAACTGAAAACAAGAAAAGCAAAAATACAGAAACCTTTATCTAGAAAGTTAACATTCACAAAACAAAGAGGATGTTCAGTTTGTGAGGTTTTCACTTTAGTCCATCTGCTTTGATCTGACTGATCAAACATTTCCTCAAAATCCACTTTCACACTTCAGGAATGCAGTTACAAAAATAAAAAAAAGGGATATAAAAATACGCAAGTCGTGAAAATTAAAATACTGCAAAATCCTGTTGTGCTTTACCTCAACACATGCAACCATGATGGCTCCCACCATGACGAACACACAGTTGAGGACGGTCCAGAGGATGAGAGAGATGGACAAACCACCAGCTTCTGTAAACTGGACGATGTCTGGGAAGGGACAAAGTCAAGGACCAGTCCAGTTGTTCCAACACTGAAATCAGCCAACTCAAACATTCAAAAAGATTAAAATATGAGAAGAAGAAGGCAAATCTAAACGAGGAGGAGGATCCTTCACTTCCTGTTCTGAGTCCATAAAAAATGAACACATTGAAAGGATACTCTCTCTAATCACTTTGTATTTGATGCCAGCGACCTCTTCCACCACCACATCTATAAAACAAGCGATGAGTCCAGTCAGAATGCCAATCATACCGCAGACCACCCAGCGACTGATCTCAAGACAGCGGAAACCCTGACGGTCCGAGCAGAGAGGCGAGAGGAGTGACACAAAACAAACACGGGAATGAGGAGATGAGAAAATATACATTAAAAACACGCACGCTTCAGACACTTCCTGCTCCACTCACCATGAAACTCATCCTCCTCTCCTCTTCCAGAAACAGCTGATTTTCAATGTTGTCATAGTCCAAACTCTGAAACAGCAAACCCACAACACGAGCTCGATCACGGACAGTTGTCAACAAACACTAAAAACAAATGGCGTTTGTTTTTGTTCTGGTCAGTGAATGCATCATAACTGATATTTCCCTAGCAGCAGCAGTTCTTTACTGAAGGAAGCAGACTGAGTTAGCTGTGTGTACAATCAAATGATCAAAAATAACGTCCGGACAAAGGGCTACCAAAGCAAAATGGTATTTTTTTAAGAGGTATATGTTTTTCTGTTTAAAAGTTTTTGGAAGCAAAGAGGCTTCAGCAGACAACAGGAAGTATGGATTACAGAAAAGTTGCCTTATTTTATATTTGAGCGCTCAGCCTCTGTGAGGTAAACGCTGTGTTTACCACCAAAACTCACAGACCGACACTCAAGATGTTAACTTTGCTAATTTATCTAAACGCAAATAAATAGGGGTGCACCGATAAATCAGAGAGCCCCGATTTCCTTAATTTTGGGTGATCAGCCGATACTTAACTGAGAAACTGATTTTTTTGTAGTTTTAACAATTGTCTAAACTTAATTTATATTTCAGAGCACTACCTCATGGGCAGTTAAAACAAGTTTGTATTGTTTCTGGAATATTGTTCAAGGGTTTGTGTTTCAATAAAATAATATTGGAAACTTGAAGGTGCATTGTGACCTGATAACACCCGACAGTGTCGCTTATAAAACAAAACTGGAATCGGCAGGTCAGACTTGTTCGAGCTCGTGACCGGCCAGAAAACTGCAATCGGTGCACCCCTACAAAGAAAAGATGTTGAGAATTTTAAAATGTCTATCTTACTGATTTTGTAGTTTTCCTAAAATAAAAAGTCCTATTTTAGTGCAGTGACTTCTTTCTCAAACACACACACACACACACACACACACACACACACACACACACAGTGTAAAGTCTTCATTTCCCTTTAAAAATATTCCTTTGGTCTCTGATGCGGTTTATTTTAATTTAAATTTAACTCGTGTGAAAACAACGCATTTCAAGAGACGTGACGTTTTAAAGTATGCACAAAAAACAAGAACACTAAAAAGCTGTATTCTGATTTATAAAGGCTGTAATTCTCTTTCATTGGGTTTTATTTTCACAGACACCACGGTTTAACCATCTGGAGGACGATATGTGTAGATTTTTAGAGGACGAGATAAAAAGCTCTGCAAAGAAAGCTCTTTTAGAAAAATGCATTTTTTTATTTTTTACTCTAAAAATCTTATTATAAAACAAACCCAAACAGAAGGTAGAAAAACCAAGAATAATGTCTTGGTTGATGTTGAAAAAAAGGAACTAGTTCTGATTTTTCAGACTTATTTTACCTCATATTTAAGCGACAGCAGCTTCTCGTTGTGAGGGATCTCTTTAGGTCTCCAACTCGCAGAGTCCTGCAGGAACAATATATGAAAGATGGAGGTCAACCCTTCATCACCTGACAACAACTCTTCCTTCCCTGAAGCAGAGAATCAGCACAGGAGCTGAAGTTATACAAGATTATTCTACACACAGCAGCTAGAAGTGCAGTACAAGCATTTAAAAAACAAACTTTTTTTTTTTTAAACTCTGGAAAGCCACTTCTAAGAAAAAGAGGAAATCTTTGAATGACTTTGTCAAACTGATGGACCAGTAACAAATGGCTGCTGAGGTGAAAAAAAAAAAAAAACAAGCATGTTCTCCAGAACGTTTGACGTTAAAATATTTAAAATACAACCAAAGCTAAAATGACAACAGGATTCATTCTTTACCATCATTAATCTAGATTAGGTGGTGGAGGAAATGTTTGCATTTGTGATGGTTGTACGAAGTAAAACAAGCCAGTAACAGGCACGTTGGACACATTTACAGGCGATGGCCCGTTGCACATTTGTATAACAACAAAAACAGCTAAAATAAAGGATGCATTCACAGAGACAGTAAACACAAAGGAAACACACAGCAAATGAACTTTAACATTGAAATCACATGCATGAAGTCACGTCCCGTCAGCCAGTGAAAACTGAGCAGCTTCTAATGGTTTTAAGTCATGGTGAGAACTGGGAAAGGAATGTGACTTTATGTCAAGCCTTGGACAGTTGTCCCATGGCGTGGACAACTGTCCATATGGATGCTAAAAATGATTGGAAAACATTGGCTTTGACTAAAACTGCTTAATCTTTTGTTTCATAAATTATACACTAACTTGGTTTAAACAATAAAAACGTTGTTAGACTTTTGAAGTGAAGTTTTGTATAAAAGTTATGAACAATAATTATCTTATCTGGTGTAGATGGCACTTTTAAAAGGTCTTAGTTTGGAGAGTTTAATTCTGACTGTATTGACGAGCTAATGGTTTGAGAGATAAAAAATAAATTGCTGTCATCTTGAAGCAAAATGCTAAAGTTACAGATATTTTATAAAAAAAAGTTTTCAGCTTCAAATCATTGGTTGTTCTGGCAGAACTCATGATATTCCTGCTTGAAATGCTCCAGACTGGATGTGCTACAGCTAGCTAATGATGTCGTATGCTCTTCAAATTAACTATAGAATATCATCAAATACAGCACTGTCTAACGTCAAACTGACAGTGATGTAAAAGAAAGAGAACCCATCCATCGCCGTCAAGAACTGTTATGAAATTTTAGGAATCGTAGTCGTTTTTAGATGACAGCACTCCATTAAAACAAGTTTTGACCTCATCAGTGGGGTCAAAAGGGAAACCAGTTTCCTCCAAACTGAGGCCATTTAAAGATTTATCTACAACAGGTAAGATTGTATTTATGCATAACCTATCCACAGAACCACACATCAAAACCTTTCTCCTTAACAGATAAAGATTATTTATCCAGCTTTTACTGGTCTTCATGTGAAAGTATCTTTGTCTTTTTTGAGTCAGGTCCTCTCGACCGATTCTTCTTTGTTGTTGTTCTTTGTCGTCTTCAGTGTTTCCCCTACCATTATTCAAGCAGGGTGATCCGCTCTGCCAACAAAACTGAGCGCTCTGCCTACCTGGAGCAATATGGACAGCCTAACTGTGCCTTCCTGAAAGCAGAGAGGAAACCTAAACAGGACTCCAGTCTGAAAATCTAACAATCTCAAGGCTCAGGTGAAAAGGACCCCAAACCCAGACCCAGACCAGTGTTCATTCCGTATGTTGCAGGAGTTTCAGAGAAACTGAGACGTTTATTTTCTAAGCATGACGTCCCAGTGGTTTTTAAACCACAAAATGCATTACTGGTTCATCCCAAAGAGCCAGTCCCCCAGCACAGAGTAATATTGTGTATGCTGTTCAGTGTCAGGAGGGTGATCAGTCTTACATTGGGGAAACTAAACAGCTACTGGCCAAAAGGATGGCCCAGCACAGAAGATCAACAACATCAGGCCAGGACTCTGCGGTCTACACTCATCTTCAAGCCAGTGGTCACTCGTTCAGGGCTGAAGACGTTCACATCCTTGATAGAGAGGAACAATGGCTTGAGAGAGGAGCCATCTTTGTGAAGAGAATCCATCCATCATTAAAACAGGGGTGGAGGTCTCCGTGTTCAACTGCCTCCCTCTTACAGTGCTGTTATTGCTAGTATCACTCAGCACTCTGTGAATAGCAAGCAGCCATCAGGGTGCTAATGATCAATTGTTAGGCTGATGGTCCTCCTTTTACATGTGAACAACTAGTTTTGGCTGTCACCAGCAAACTGGTTGATCCACCATGAGAAGGTGCTGTGATGTAGCTCTTCAGACTGAAGAAGTCTTTTGGATAAGACAAAACGTTTCAACAAAGAAGAATCTGTGCAGACGGCCTGACTCAACCTTGTTAGATTCATCTACCTGGATTATTGAGCATGCATCGAGACATCCTAACATAAATATTGTTTTGCTTTGAACAAACAAATCTTTAAGAGTTAAAATGTCTCATTCTCTCACATCATCTTCTGTGTTTAAAGTAATAAAATGAACGGCTGAGGGGGTCACAATTGTACACATTAACAAGCACATGACGTCCTGCGATAAATTAAATTGTTAGCCTTCCTTCACGGTGGAAACCATCAGACATGTGCCTTCAGAGAGCTCTGGATGAGTCAGCCGACGCTGGACTGTTGTTCCTCTCTGTGTCAGCTGTCCCAAATTAGGCCATATCATGTCCAGAGGAAATCAGTCGAGATGAAAATGAAATAATCTACTTTATCTCAAACTACATTAGCTAAATCAATTAAAACCAGATTAGATGTAATCTCAATTAAACCTACTACAACAGAAGGCTGTGAGGCCAAATAACTTTTAATACTGTATGTGGAGAGGATGGATATTAACAATACTCATGTCCAAAACACTTAAATGAAGCAAAATCCTGCAGTTGAAGCGATGACTTGATAGGAGCAACAGACACAGAGAGGATGGTGGTGACCGGAGCTCCAACTTTACCTCCTCTGTTGTTATTTCTTCGTCCAAATCCACTGTGCTGAATCTGCCTATCTGAAATAACCTCCTTCCTCCAGACAGCTACAGACACCACAGACAGTCATAAACATATGGCTTTGTGCATCAACGCCCAGGCTGATACGTTCACATCAAACAGGTACTGGCATCATCAAGGACAATGAAATGCATCTGAACAGTGCAGGAAGCTAACATAAGTGTGGTAATGTGCAGGGATTTAAAACTTAAACAAAAACTAACGATATAGGAGATAAACCATTCCTGTCTTTAAAGAAACTGATAAAAGATGAAAAGTTTTAGCAAGATTTATGCGTTTCTGCTAATTTATGTTGGTTTTCTGATGCTTAAACAAATAAAGCAACATTTGTACTTTTAGTGTGGATGCAATATTAACTTGTGTTTGGTTTATTACTTCTGCAAAATGTAAAACAAAAAAATAGATAGGATCCCAAAGACGTGGTCCTGTTGGTTCCATTATCAGTTTTAAAAAAAAACAACAAAGTTGGTGTTTTCCCTGAGTATTTTCACAACATCCAGGCTTACAGTCCAACATGCAGCAGTTCTGACATAGCACATAGATTTATTTAGGTTTAGAGCCACCATGTGTCATCATCCTGCTTTAGTTTGTCACCAAAGTCCTAATCATTCTCCAACAAGAGAACCGCAGTGGGTAGGACCAACATGTACAAGCGCGATAATATGCATTACTTTCATTGTTATAATTAGACTGGTAACTTGCACACTGACTCAAATGCAAAACAAGCCATTACATGATAAAAACATGACCACTGTGTATGGAGCAAACCCATTCAAATAAATTCAGACCCGTGCAGCTTTCAGAAACATGACTCAAAGTCTCCTTAAAGTGCTTTTTAGGACATGCTCTACCATCTCCTTTCATCTACAGAGGAAGCAGCTGTTAGCATAAGTTAGCTACCTTGTTAGCATAAGTTAGCCGTACCTGTCTGGACAGTGAGGGCCGCTCGGAGCCGTTGAGCAGCGGGGTTCCCTCCCACACTGCCCCGGTCTCGTCGCCTCGGCTGGACCACGACACTTTCTTGGTGATGTTCGCCATGATGGCGGCCTCTGCAAACTCGCCGCTCTAACGCACGAGATTATTCTTCATTAACTTCAGCTACAACCAGCTAACTATTACTACTCTTCTCATTCCCCCCCATGATCATCTCATGAGCTCGTGATGTTTTGTAAGGTTCGCGTGCGACGCTGAAAATACGTTGCCGCGTTGCATGCTGGTACCTGTAGTCCTAAAATGTCCTTTCAGTTAGTGCGAAATCAAAATGATGATATTTGATTGGATGGCAGCACGGTGGCGCAACTGGTAGAGCTGCTGCCTCTCAGCGAGCAGGTCCCTGGTTCAAACCCCGGTCCAGGGGCCTTTCTGGGTGGAGTTTGCATGTTCTCTCCGTGCATGCGTGGGTTTTCTCCGGGTGCTCCGGTTTCCTCCCACAGACCAAAAACATGCATGTTAGGCTGATTGGTAACTCTAAATTGTCCCTAGGTGTGAGTGAGAGAGTGAATGGTTGTTTGTCTCGTTTGTCTCTATGTGTCCCTGTGATGGACTTGCGACCCGTCCAGGGTGTACCCCGCCCCTCGCACAGTGATTGCTGGACATGGGCACCAGCGACCCCCGTGACCCAAAATGGAATAAGCAGGTAAAGATAATGGATGGATGGATGGATGGATATTTGATTGGCTTAAATCGTGATATGTTTGCTTAATATAAATATGTTAAAATTTAGTTTATTAAATAGTTTATTCTTGTTAGTTGTATGAACATATAACACTTAAAAATTACTTTGTGAGTTAAAAACATTATTTACCATTTACGTCACAGCTGTAAGAGTTTCTTTCAGAATTAAGCAATTTTGTTGTTTTGGCATTGCATAATCTGGGTAGTGTCCACATACCGCTGAATCAGCGTATTCACTCCTGTTGTTTCCCAGTTTAAATGAGTTGATTAGGTGATTTTTTAAATCACTTGTTGAATGAAATCATATATTTATATTTTTCCACCGTTAATTATAGTCATATTGTTTCACCCATCCCCCTTCGGCAATAACAGCTTGAGCAGGGAGGCTCAGGCATATCTTTCCGGCCACCTCATCCAGCTGTTCTGGATGGACTCAAAGGGGCTCGCAGTCAAGAAACATATATAGTCTCTCCGGTGTGAACTGGTCTAAATATGTTTACAGCATTATATGACTAAACAACTTAACCAAAAAAGGGAGCAACAAATCATCCACTCCACACTGCAGGTTTCCTAACACAAGTCATTTAGAAAAAAATCATGATGTGTCTCAATGCAGCAGACAATTTAGCTAAAATACTGAACAAAATTTGGAGTTTTCTGGCATTTAAAACAAACTTTTTGTCTTAAAGTTATAGCTTAGGTCTTTGAAGTGACAATCTGTGGAAAAACTGTTAATAATTACTATCTTACCTGTTGTAGATAACTCAGAGTGAACTCAAAATTGTGAAAACAGAATTTAATTCTTAACAAAGTGACCTGGTAATGGCTAGCTACATCTGGGCCAAGACCAAAGTGGATCTCTGTCTTCTTAAAACAGCTCCAATTGTGTGTAACGTGAAGGTGACAACAGTAGCTGTTAGCTTCTGTCCAGAAATAAAAAAATTTGATCCAAAGTGATGTTTTTCAAAAAACAATCTACAGCAGGTAAGATATTAATTGATCGTCCTCTTCAATAGGTTTGAACCATCACTTAAGATGACCTCTTAACTTGGGCTCCGTTCAGCTGAGTGTCTTTGTGAACAACAGGGTTTTGCCTCGGCGTCATCAGCACACGATAACTTTTACTCCTACAGTGAAATATCGTGACACAGCGCTGACCTTTCACCTTTTGTCTCGCGGTGTGGAGCCTCAGGTGTTTGAGGTCTTGGGTCATGTGGTTGTAATGAGAACATGAACAGAACTGTACAATCCATCAGATGAGTTATTGTTCTGGTTCAGAGCCAAAGAGTGTGAATGGGTTTGGATCCAAGCCTAAAACTGTCAGAGAAAAGAGAAACAAGTTTAAAAAGTCTGTTTGCAGCTGAACTATTTTCAAAGTTCTCAAGGAAAAAAACTTTACATAGCTTTGATGATAACTCAGGATTGTTACAGAAGCTTTTCCATCATTTCAGTGTTTGACAGAACGACTAACAACAACATGTAACACGAAAGTTAGGTCTCTCTGAGCCTGTCAGCTACCTTATAAACAACTTAGAGAGAAGTACTTTAGTCAAATAAATAAACAAGTTACAGATTATTATAAAACTTTATATTTTTCTTTTTTCAGGAGGAGGATAAATCTTTTTGACACAAATGAAATGTTATTTTTGTTTTTACAATATCTATTTAGTTAATTGTTTTTTTAAATACATTTTTTTCCCTCATTAAGACAAATATGACTTTTTTAAGCATTTCTTTTGGATTTTAGTTTAGTCCAGGCACCAAAAATGACTCACAGAGTTGCTGTTAGGGATTTTTTTTTTTCTACATTTTGAATTTTTGCAACTCAAAAGTTATGAAAAACACTGGCTCTTCTGCTTTGTAGCAAACGTTTGAAATTGTAAGTTTTATTACAAAATCGTCCAGCCTTTCTGTTTACTTTGCATGTTCTCTGTGTGCATGTGTGGGTTTTTTACTCTGGTTTCCTCCCACAGACCAAAACATGCATGCTAGGCTGATTGGTAACTCTAAATTGTCTCTAGGTGTGAGTGACAGAGTGAATGGTTGTTTGTCTCGTTTGTCTTTTTGTGTCTGTGTGATGGACTTGGACCTGTCCAGGGTGTCCCCTGCCTCTCACACAGTGATGGCTGGACATGGGCACCAGTGACCCCATGACCCAAAAAAGAGAAACAAGTAAAGAAAACGGGTACACAGATGTTCAGCGCAATATGTAATGAAAAAAATCCTGTAGATGAAAATTAGATCAAAGCTGGACCAAAAAAATTAACAATCTACTTTCATTCCATGAACCAAAAAAAAAGTCAAACTGCACAAAGAACATGTAAGAGACATGGCTGACATCAAATGACCAGATAACATGAAGAGAAAGGAAAAATGTTGCAGTTACAGTTCATCTGTGAAGCAGAGTAAGGAGGCAAACAAATGTCTGCAAACTCCCATGGACTTTAGGCAACGTTGTAAAGAAAGAGTGGGCCAAACTTACTCCACAAACATGTGAGAGACAGATGAAGTCCTGAAAGCTACAGCATTTGTTGCAACTAAAGGAGGTTCTTTTCTTCTTCTTTCGGCTGCTCCCTTCTTCAGGGGTCACCTTAACTTGCACGAAGACTTGGTAATTATTTTTACGCCAGATGTTCCTCCTGACACAACCACAGACCACCGAGCTACCACAGCCCTCTGTGTGGAGCACAGAGCTGCCATCTAGAGCACCTGGGGGAGCAGATGGTGGGGGTTAAGGGCCTTGCTCAAGGGCCCAGAGTGAGGCAAATGAGGGTGGAGGCAGGTGTGGGAGCTTCACCAAGTCCACTCACAATTTGATGTTGTCAGTACCGGGAGCTGAACCAGCGATCTTCCGATCACAGGCCCACCTTGTCTAACCTCTGTGCCACCACTCCCTCAAAAGGCTAGCTAAAAGCTAAATGAGGCAAAAGGCTAGTTAAAAGCTTTAAAAGGCAAAACAATAGCTACAAGATAAAAATAACAAATGTTTAGATAAAACCTAAAAAGTAGCAAAGTAGCAAAAATGAAGCTGAACGCAAGCGATAGCTACATGCTAAAAGTACTGCTGAAGTCTAGCTAAAACCTAAAAGAAGCAGAATGGTAGTGAGAAGCTAAACATAGCAAAGGGGTAGCTGAAAGACAAAATAGCAAATGGTTGACTAAAAACCAAAAGTAGCCAAAGGCAAGCTAAAGGGTAAACATAGCAAGTAGCTAAAAGTTAAAAGAAGCAGAACAGTAAATAAAAGCTAAAAAAAAAAAACTGCAAACGGTAAAAGTGGTAGTAGCTATAAACTAAACGCAAAAATAAAGCCAGTTTGATGAAGCAGATTTCAAACAGTATTCTACAAGCTGAAATTTCCAAAGCATTACACAATGCTTTGATTAAAAAAAAAGTAAACTTACAAATAAAGGGTAAATGAAAAAATGAAAAAAATAAACATGAGACCTCTATTGAATGAGTAGCAGACTGAGCGTGTGTGGATTTTCATGTGGCTCATAATGAAACATTAGTTATTGTGGTTTTGTGGATCTTCCTCTTCCCCTGATTCAGCTGCAGGGGGATCTGGCTCTGCTCTACTTCTGCTTTTTTCTTTATGAATGTCCCAATCCAGGAGTCCATCTGATTCCACCCTTCTGCTTTTTAACTTTTCCCTTTGGTCACAACAGAGTGACTTCTTCACATTTAGATAGTGAAACTCTTTATAAATCCTAAGTCTGACTTTTAAAACGTGCCTGACTTCAGCTTTGTTTGGTTTCATTTGAGCTAATCTGTCGTTAGTTCCTGTTCAAATTGACGAACAAAAACTCACGAAGCAAGGCAACTTTTAATTTTCAGTTTTGTTCTGACCATAGCTTTATGTGGCCTCTCGGTCAGATTGATTTCACCATTCTGGAAAATCCTTGAACTGAATGCTGCAGAGTTAGATCAACCAAAGATGTGACATTTTTAAGCTAAATGCAGTCTATGCTTTGCTTTGGAAGCTTGAACCACGGTGGATATCGGCTTGCTGAGTGCGGATTTGGATCTTCATCAACTTTGTTTTTCTTTAGCTTCAGTGAGAAGTTGATCTTTGACACAGGATCCAGGTCCTGAAACAGTTTATTCAAACCAGACAGGTGTTTAGGTGCGAGTCTGCTGCAAACATGAATGAAGAGACGCCACTGCTGTCTGGAAGGACAGCACCTTCTGAATCCAAGGTTGGACCGCATGTTTTTCATTTTTACACAGTTTTAATTGATTCAGTTTATGATTTGTAGATTATTGGATAATTAATGTTGTTTAAAGAATATAGTCTGAAAGTTAAAAAAAAAAAAAAAAACAGGAACCAAAAACACAAAGGATGTACAACAGCTCTATGCTGCTCTATCTCTGTCGTCCAGGTCATGATCAATCAAAAATAAAAATAAAAAAGTTAAAGCTTAAAAACAAAAACTGGACTTCTATTCTGAAGCTGAATCTTGTTTTTAACCATTTTTTAAATAAAACAGCTCTGTGTTGGGTCGGGCTTGTTTCTTAACACAACCTGCTTTGTTATTGGCTGAAACAGTCCTTCACAAGCTGCTCACACACCGGAACAATAAGAAAACTGACAAATGGTGGATTCAAATGACAAATACATTAAATGAGTCCAACTAGGAACATTATGAGCTTTTTTGAAGTTGTCGGATGGAAGAAATTAAGAAACATAAATACATAAAACATCAACAAAGACCATTTAATTGTCCAAGCAAACATATATTTAATATGATTATTTAAAGCTCTTTCAGTTCTTGTTCATGAGGAAGTTACTGCAGATTATTAGTTAGATGTCATGGTCAAAAAATGTTCATGAACAAAACTATTTATTTGTTATACACTGTAAAACCAGTTTGTTAGTTTAACAACCTACAAAAGTGAATCAATAGTTTATTAAAGGAAAACATGAACTTATAAATCTGAAGTACCAGCAGTATTCAACAGTTCTCTTATAGCCTGTAATCATTTTGATTGTGACAGTTTGGATTAATATTTAACTAATACAAAGCAAAAAAGGATTTATTTGTTCCTACAAATAAATTTTACAAAAAAAAATGTTTAACATAAATGCTGATTTTATTTTAAAAAAAATTATGCACACGTTGCATTTGTGCAGGCATCGCATCGTACAAAATGGGGATTAGAAACACGTCCTGTTCAGATTAGGTTTATTTGTCATACACAGATCAACACAAGGTCAAAAACGCAAATCAGGACGAGAACAAACATCTCGACTGGCCAAAAAAAACAAAAAACAAAAAAAACAGCAACAACAACAAGAAATATCAAAGCATGCAACAAAAATACAAAAACATGGCGCCAAATGTGAAAAAGTGAATCTACTACAGCATGGTCCTATTAGCAGTGGCTCTGTTGGCAGCGAAGATCTGTTAGCAACATGGTCCCATTAGCATCGTGGTACTGTTAGCAGTGAGGTTCTTTTAGCAGTGAGGTTCTCTTAGCAACAT